AGCCAAACCACACCAACACCCCCAGAGCAACAGAAATGGGGACTACGGCCAATCCCACTCCCGGGGTCACGAGAAGGTAAAAGCTGCACCCTGAGAAGGGGCGGCTGGACCCAGGGAAAAGGCACAAGCCCCCTGGGAGCAGCACCCATGGGTGCACAGGGAAGTGCTGGGTTTAAGCAGTGTTTCTCTCCTAATTCACTGCTCTGCTCTGGGCACGGACTGCAGGGACGGAAAAACCCAGGGAATTCAGCAGATTCAGGCACATCCCAGACCGAAGCTGCAAAGTGATTTAGGAGCAGTCACAGAAACTGTCTCTGGGCACCTTCACTGCAAAGCATCCCAGCTGAAGAACAGAGCCCCTCAGAATCCGCCCGTGCTTCGCCGGTTCAGCTAAGGTCAAACCCACGTCTCCGAGGCACCGACCGCAGCCAAGGCATTTACCCACCGACAGAGCGCGGATGCACAGAGCATGCACAGGACCGCACGGCAGAGCCCGTAGGACTGCACAGCATCGGCAGAGCCCGTAGGATCGCACAGCAGAGCCCGTAGGACTGCATGGCACCAGCAGAACCCATAGGACCGCATGGCAGAGCCCATAGGACCACACTGGCACGGGCAGAGCCTGTAGGACCACACTGGCACGGGCAGAGCCCGTAGGACCACACTGGCACGGGCAGAGCCCGTAGGACCACACTGGCACCGGCAGAGCCTGTAAGGACCACACTGGCACGGGCAGAGCCCGTAGGACCACACTGGCACCGGCAGAGCCTGTAAGGACCACACTGGCACGGGCAGAGCCCGTAGGACCACACGGCACCGGCAGGCACCGCCGATGGGAGCATGGCCACGAGAGCTGAGCCCCTTCTCTCCGCAAGCAGCTCAGGAGCATCTCCAAACTATTCCACTGGCTGCCACACACGGTGAAAAAAGTGAGAGACAGGAGGTGATTTATGGATGTAATAAAAATTGCTCATTGAAAAATTGTACTACCCAAGTTCAGCTTTTTACTGGGGACAGATACAGGCTGGGACAGTTATTGCAGCTTTCCTTCCGACGCCACCCTCCCCACTCCAGGTTATTTCAGACCTTTTAATAAAGCGAATTGTCCCAGGTGGGTCTCGGGAGAGGGGGAAGAAGGCCGGGGTTAAGGAAGAACTCCAGGGTTACGGATGCAATCTCTGTACAGCCTGAGAAAAACAGAGACGCCCGGAGAGATAACAAAACCCAGCACTATTTATTGTACTAGGTAGGAAAATTATTTCTTCCTCATCTAACAGTTTGCAGCTCAGAATTCTAATTTCATGGCCTAAGGCTGGGAGTATTGCCAGTTCACAGCAGGACGAGGAAATCCAGGCTTTGCCGCCTCTGAGAAGCTGAAAGTGGGAAGCAAGCAGAGAGGCAGGGATGGGCAGCGCAGAGAAAAGCCCCCCCCGGGCCGCGTGCTGCCCCCGCCTGCTGCCGATGGCTGCTATTACCTTTGATTCCTCTCAGTTTGGATTGCCTGGGAAAATGCAGAGTTCAGTTCGTTCCTGGGGCGTTCATTCTTCGCACCCTGACGTCCCCCCACCCCCCCGGAGCGGTCTCAGCCCGCGCAGCACACCACTCATTATTTACACACTAATGGGCTATTTCGCCCTTCTTGACAGGTTTTCACCCAAAACATTCCTCAATGACTTTGGCAATCACAGAAGAACACGATGCTGGCAGGGAAGCTCCTCCTCACCCGCAGAAGCAGATTCAAGTAGTTTCTTTTTATTTTTATAATTTCTCCCTCTGCCCGTCAGGAAGTGACCCGGGCCACGAGAGAGCCACCAGCTGCGTCCAAAAGCTGGGGTTTGTGGGAGAAATGGGAAGCCTCTTTTAGGAACTACAGCAACAACAAAACCAGTTCCTTGCCCTTCTGCAGCATCTGGCGCTCCCAGTCCCCGTGCTGGGGCAGCGTCCCGGCCACCGGCGTGCCCTCGGCAGGACCCTCGCCTGCAGGACCGGGGGGCACCCCAGCCCCGAGGGGCCAAAACCCAGACCCCGAGCACACGGAGCTGGCAGCCGTCGCCGGTGGCACACTGGGGACAGGGGAGCAGCCTGCCCCATGGCAGCAGCATCACCGCGATGGCCCGGGGCAGGGGAAGGGCTGCGTCCCCCCGCGGCCGCCACGCGCTTCCCGAGCACAAGGGCAGGAAAACAAAACGCTTTCTGGTTTCTACAAACGGAGCAAACCCACCAACAAGGCAACAACAACAAGGTGCAAACCCAAGCACGGCTGAGCCCCCAGCACGGGATGGGGCGCTCTCCTCCCCCTGCAGCGTAACCACAATTTAACTCCGTTATTCCACCCTGGGGAGAGAGCACAGCGGTGTCAGGGCAGATCCACAGCCGCAGCCGCTTCTCTGCCTCATCGAACACATTGGCACCGAAAAGATGGAGCGCGGCTGAACGTACAGGGAATGCCTGCTCCCCTTCCGGACATCCCCGAGAGGGACAGCGACCCGAGGGCTCCTGCTCCTGGCACGCAGGGCAAAACCTGACACGAATTAAGCATAAACACGCGGGCTTAAGTGTTTCCAGACCCCGATTCTGTCGTTGCCCTTCCTATGCTGAGCATCCGAGTGGTTCCTTCTCTCCTCCTCCCTTTTGTGTTTTAGCATCCTAATAATTCCCTCGGCATCACGGGCTGCATTAGCACCACCGACATTACACGCGCGTCGGCATTGCACTAAACCCCTGATGCTGAAGCAATTCCTGTCCTGCCCCCTAGAAAAAAGGGAATTGCAAATTTTGGAGTCCCTGGCGTCGGTTTCTGCTCTGCACTGATTCACGTCCATGAGGATCCGAACAGAGCATTTCAAGCTTAATTGAAGGGCTCAGCTTAAAAATACCAGAGTCACGGAATTCTTACCACGGGCTGCTGTGCTCTCGAGGAACAGTTCTGATGTACCCTGTAACAGTCTCTTCTGGCTTGCCACAGCATTATTTCTTTGCAGAGATTGTTAAACCACTTTATTTAGAACAAGTAACGCAGGGCATTCTTAAATTTGATCGGTTTATGCTTACCACAATTAACTGCATGGGCTCTCTGCACATTTACCGCTCCCCAGCTGCAGCCACAGACTCCCAAAAAATCACTTTTCTTTTCTGAGCTTCAGACACTGGCGACACCAACAGCCCCACTGCTCTCAAACACCTCGCACATCTCCCACCTAGGAATTCGGTCTGACGTAACGTTAAACATCTTCTTCACAAAACATTCCAAAAATACCCAGATAAGCACCTGGAAATAAATAGCAAGCGCGCAATAACGCGGATGTGTTCCAGCAGTCACCTACATTTTTATGTGTTGCGATGCGGCACAGAGCGAAAATCAGATTGCAAATGTGCTTACGGATGCTCCCCTTACTGAATCTGTTCTCGACGCAGCAGCAATGGTTTTACAGCCAAAGCCTCCCGCCGCAGCTGGCAGCGCCTCTTCCCTTTCCGAAGCCCGCAGGAGCCAGGGCCACCGCCATCCGTGCCCA